GATAAATAACTAGATAATAAGTTAAAAGTAAATATGGGGATGGTACCAAATGGATATTAAATTCAAATTCAAATGTTTATTGACATATAAACTTTAAACAGTAAGTTTGTGACGAGTACAAAATAAGTATATACGCCATAACTGAAAATTCACAGATATATACACATTCAATAATTTAATTACAGTAAATAGTTCAGAGACCCCTGTCCTCATCTTTAATGTTTTTTTTTAATGTAGGACCCCAATCTATTAATAAACTTGTGATGGTGTTGATGGTCTGAGCATAAAAATCACATTTTCTTCAGCAGACAAATCTTGAATGAACAGAAATGTTTCTTTTCCAAATTAATAGAAAAAAAAGTTGTTTCTCAGTTCCTTATTCAATTCACATGCTAATAAAAATGTTTTTCATCCTCTAATATATTACACTTAAGGCATTCTCTGCTCTCTAGGAATATTATAATGTCTTCATTTTTCTAAAAGTCATTTACCGAAAAGAAAAAAAAACAACACATACAATAGCATGGCTAAAACAAACGACGAAAAGTCAAACAACAGTACAGCAAACAAGATTAGACAGAATTAACTCCACTAAAAACCGGATGAAGTCAGGTACTCCGGAAGTTAATAAATAATAAAGTGATGTGAAGATTATAATAAATGAAAATGCATCAATAATGAATTACATCTTTGATTTCAGATACCAACGTATACTGGCTTCTGCACTTCATACACCGATTATTCAGACCATCTTGCTTCTCATTGCAAAAGTGTCTCCCTCGAGGACGACCAACCAAATCAACAGGACATTTACTGGAATGAAGAAACATATTATCGGTCTGCACAGGAAATCAGAGAACATAACCGGAAGTCCGATATACCGCAGCTAAATATCGCTTCCGGAATAGATAGCGATATAGCAGATATTGCTGCTCAGCTGATGCAAGGAGATTCTGTTCTTGATGTCGTAGACAAAATGGCTGCCAAAGACGACTGGAAAAGCAAAATAAGTTTCAGTAAAACTGATTATCAAAGTCAGCCTGCCAAAACAAGAACCTTAAAATTAAACGACTGCTCTGAGGTTGTCGTCAACCTAATCGAGAAGACCCATCCGTTGCTTCATAAAAAACCGATTTCCAACACCAAGACACCATGTCATACGCCATTTCTACCAGTTCATCGACAAAATGCCTTCAATCAGATTCCGATTTCTACAAACTCACTCCTTCAAAGGTCAAACGTCAAACTGAACTTCTTGTCGTCAAGACAGAGAGCAGATCCATTCACTACACTTATTCGATCAAAATCAGACTGTGAGGTGAATTTCAGCAACATCTGGGACAGTATTAATCAGCGTTTTGTCGTTTGCTCAGCATACGAAAATAGAAGGTCAACAAAGGAAGTACCAGTATTTACCTCCACATCCGTGGCATCTGTACCAACAGCGGCAGTCACTGAAAACCGCAAAAGGAAGGCTTCATCTACCTTTACTAATCAACCAGCTACAAAACGTCAGAATAGCGTAAATATAAAATATCTTGTGTCGCCTCGAATTAAACAGGCTGGATCATCATCATGTAATGACCTTTTTGCTACACCACTGTATATTCCATCCAAGCATGACCAGACCGTTTGCTTTTCATCTGCAAAGAAAATGTCAGCAACATACAGACATCAATGAGGACAAATGTGACAATTCTAAGCTTAGCTGTGATAAATTGATAATTATGACACTACGGGTAGTTTTATAACATCCTTTTTTTGTATGTTTTACTATCATGACTATTTCCTAAAGCTTTATGATAGATTCAAAATGATTTTTAGATAAAGGTAAGTATACAAAAATTATTTTCATTGATCATGATGCAAATCCATTCAAAAGCTTTTATTTCATTTAATTGACTGCAATTCATACAGTGTACTTTATTTTTGTGTACTAGTATGCTATGAATTCGTGTATGATTGCATGGTTGTATGCATGGTTTATGTATGATTGAATGAAGGCATCATGTATGTGTGTGTGTGTGTGTGTTATGACTGTTTGCTTTACAAGTGTGTATGGTGCATGTGTGTGTGCGTGTGTGTGTATGATGCCTGCTAGTGTTTGTGTGTGTGTGTGTGTATAGTTGCATGATTGTTGTCTATGAAGTTGTATATGTTTGATGTTTGTTAGTGCTTGCATGTTTGTACACTTGAATAATTTATGAATGATTTGTAAGACTGAATCTTGTTTGTATGGTATTTGTTTGAGGGTCTGGATGGGGTCCTCATTTCTGTATTATTTTATTTTTAAGGCCATATTTCTCTATTTTTAATTATATTTTTCCCCCATCATTCTCTATCATTTATAATTCAGCAGCCGGTTGTACGAACGTGGCATTAGCCTAATGGGTCATTAAGTCTTCATTAAGCCTTTATGATGCATTAGGCTAATGAAGACTTAATGACTCATTAGACTAATGACACGTTCGTACAACCAGCTGCAGCACACTATTATTTTCTATTCTTAATTTTCTTGCCTATTTTTAATATACTTTGGCCATTATTCTGTACTTTTTGTCCATTATTTTCTATTCAGTAAACCTCCTCTAGATCCTCGTGCTAGCGTGTTGATGCATATTAATTGTATTAGTTGTATGTTGTATATAAGTGATTGTATAAAAAATGTTTTTTTAAAAATTCTCGCTGTTGTTATCAATTTGCCTTTCATGAATAATAATATGATAGAGGCGTTTTATGTCTGGGTTATAAACGACAGTTGTATATGACAATCTTTATGTATCTGTGTAAATATGCAGAGGATGTGCATTTTAAGCATAATAACCTTTCCGGAGCACCTGATCTCACTTTCGGTTTTTATTGGAGTTCGTATTACCCAAGCTTTAGAATTTTGTGTTCGCTTTAAGTATACATATTTTTCTTGTCTGTCCACACACTCATGTCGTCGCTTTTGACATGATTCGTTTGCCTACTGTCCTCATGATATCCGTTTTATTCCCCTAGGACATCATTCTTCTACCGTTTTTTTCATCAGACACCTGCAATGATCTGTTGTTGACAAATGTTAGTAATTTTGATTGGGGTTTGCAAAAAACAACAAAGGTATACTTACTCCACTTGATTTTGTAGATAAATTAATCATACATATCACAGTTAACATTTAACGGTACCAAGTGTATTGCATGTTATGCGCATTTCGACCGTTAAGGTCTCTTCAGTGATGCTAGCCTGAGCCCATTATAAACAAACTCGTCATAGATACCAGGGTTAAACTTTTGTACGCCAGACGCGCGTGTCATCTATACAAAAGACACATCAATGACGCCCCAAAAGTAAAAAGAAAAGAAAAGTTAAATTGGTAAAAAATCATACGCAGTTGAAGAGCCTTGAGGACCAAAATTCCAAGAAGTTTTACAGCTATGGTAATTCCAGTGGTAGAAAATCCTATATTTGAGAAAAAAAAAAAAACGCTTATACAAACGTTGACGAGCATATATAATAAAAAAAAACCTAAAGTGTTGCCAAAGCCGGACTAGGAGTCATAGCTGTGCGTTAAGGAGATACATCAACAAGATTCCATTGTCTAAAGTGCACATCATTATTTATGTATACACTGGCAAAAATGCCACACATGTGTACATGCGTGACACATGCGTTTCACATGCGTGTCACACGCATGTGAAAGAGACGTTTCATGCCACGCATGTGACACATGTGTGAAAAACACATGTGATACGCATGATACACACATGTGATCATGCGTTTCACATGTGAATCACATGCGTAAGGAAATACACCTGTGATACATGCGTGATTACTACATGTAAAAGGCATGGTGCCTGTATTAAATATTTTTCAAAATGTCCTCCTATTTGTCCAATTACCATGATTGTTGACATGTTTCTCAGTTCTCATGTGAATTACATGCAATTTCTAACACATTTTTCTAACACATGCGTTATACATGTGTTTTCTCTATATATACACAGGCAAAATGAAATTAAGGTGAATTGAGCATCAATCACACAAATTCACAGTATTTGAGCATATTTTAGATAAGTTAATGCTAATCTAGTACACATTCTATTTTGATATATATAAATATTCTTCTTGGTCTTGACTATGTGTTCATACTTCCATTATATTTTACTTTCTTGATCCTAAACAATACAAAAAATATTTATCTATCAACTCCCAACTCACAATATCTCCAATGCAAGAGATAAGATGCAATAAAACAAAGAAGGCAAGCAAATATCCAGGTCACCTTAGTTCACTCCTAGAATTTTTTTCGGTTATGTTCAAGTCTCAATACTTTTTTTAAAAGTCATGTAAGGATTGGTGATTCATTTATAGAATATGTATGCACTAATGTATATTTCATTTTTAATATGTATGTACAAGTTATTTTGTGGTTATCAGCCATGAGACAATCCAATCCCATTATGGAAATAGTCTTACTTGCAAAAGATGCCAATTTTTCTTTTGAAAGTTTTGAAGAAAAAAAGTATTTCACCCTGCCACATATTCCTGTGCCTGTTTCAAGCCAGGAACCTTTTCAGTGGTTGTCTAAGTCTCATCCTAATAAAAAAAAATATTTAAAGAATTTGGTGTTGATGGCAGCTCTTTGATTGGTATAGACTCTGGTTAATTAAGTAGATCATGACATTGTTTAGACACCTGTTCATTGTTGAGGACTGTATGTTAGCACCTTAATGCCTTTCATGTGTTTTTGTTGTGTAGCTGTCTGATTTATTTATACCTCATATCTCATTGTATTAATAAACTGAAATAGAAAGTTCTGTGAAATATATTTTGATATACCATATTGAAAGTCTTGCTGTTATTTACAACCATTTCCTTCTTATTTCATATATCTATTTCAGTTTTTCATTTTAACACCAATCTTAAGGTTAAGGCAAAAAGAAAACAAATGTTGCTAAACAACAGGCATATACCATTAGAAGATCTCAAAGTTTGGCTGCACAATAAACTAAAAATTCTTGTTATTTCAAATATTTATATAAAAATCAGTTTAAAACATGCATTTTCCATTTTTAGACTGTAATTGTCATGTTGGCACAATAATTTGAATTTGAATTGTATTATATTCTGAGAGTACTTGTGGTTGAAAAAATATACACGATATTTAATTCCATGTGTTTTAGATTTCTTGAATACACCACTCCCATATAACAACTACATGTCTGTTAGTAATGTTAAGAGTTCTCTCCTGCATGTAATTGCTGTAATTGCTATTTGTACCCAAGGCTTCCTTCATACATTTGCACTTATCCTTCTAAGATGTTGCTTGAATGATAAAATTCTGTAATACATTATCAGCCATCAGACTCTTGGAATACAGTTGCTGTAATAAAAAAAATAAACTGTAATCACAGAGATATGTCTCGCTTTTGAGTAATTTCGATAATGCAAATGTTGAAATTAAAATAGCAACACTTTAACATGTAAGATTTGCAAATATTCAAAGTCAATGAACCATGACTAAAGGTACATGGCTAAACAATCTCCATGGATATTTGATGTGCCAATGCTAATACAACGCATACCAAATACCATTGACTTATCATAAGTAGTTCCCTTTAAAAAACCTAAACACAAACTAATACATGTAAACTAAGAAAATTTTAAAGTCAATAAACGATAACTGAGGGGGGGGGGGGAAATAATCTCCATGGTAATGAGATGTGCCAATGCTAATACAACTGCATACCAAATATCATTGACTTACCACTAGTGGTTTCCCATAAGCCAACCTAATCACAAACTAATACATGAACACTAAGCAAAAGTTTCAAAGTCAATAGACCATGACTGAGGGGGCAGGGCCAAATAATCTTCATGGAAACGAGATATGCCACTGCGTATTTAACTGCATACCAATTATCATGAACTTACCACTAGTGGTTCCCCATAAACTGACCTAGTCACAAACTAATACATGAAAACTAAGCAAAAATTTAAAAGTCAATAGACCATGACTGAGAGAGTGGACCCAAATAATCTCCATGGAAATGAGATATGCCAATGCTTATACAACTGCATACCAATCATAATTAACTTACCACTAGTGGTTTTCCATAAACTGACCTAATCACAAACTAATACATGAAGACTAAGCAAGAATTTCAAATTAAGTCAATAAACCATAACTGAGGGGGCGGGGCCAAATAATCTCCATGGTAATGAGATGTGCCAATACTAATACAACTGCATACCAAATATCTTCGACTTACTACTTGTGGTTCACTATAAACTAGACCTAATCACAAACTAATACATTGTTGACGCCGCTGTCGTCACCAACGCCAGAAATAGCATACCTATGCCGCGCTTTTTGACTCCGTCAAGCGAGACAAAAACAGCATATATTTTTTGTAAAACATACATCAAATATTGGATTACCAATCAGGCAAAAAATGATAACATCAATTTAATCTCCAATGATTTACCAAACTTACATATATATATATATCGTGTGAACAACTGGAGTGGAATATAATAGTTGTTGTTTATCATATTTATTTTTCGTTTAATGTCTTTTACGTAAATTGGAATTGTATTACATCTGTAATTTCAGGACCTTTTATAGCTTGCTAGATGCAGTATCAGTTTTGCTCATTGTTGAAAGCTGTTCATACAGTGATCTATAGTTGCTAACATTCAGTCATTTCGACTCTGGTGGATAGTTGTCTCATTGGCAATAATACTACATATTCTCATTTTATCAACATAAATTACCGTAATAATGAAAACTAACTCTATTCATGCATGTGTACTACACATTACCTGTATATATAATATATACTAGAATACTCCTGGACATCATGGTGTTGTGACTGAAGCAAAGTACCTTAGCCTTATTTTTAGCCTGAATTTTAAGATTTTTCGTTTTGTCATCTAATAATGTCATGCTGGTCATTAGGTGCACAGTTTTCTCTGCTTTCAAAATCTTTCTTTTTGAACCCTTCGACCCAGAACTTGTTAATTATCTGTAGTAATAATTATGTGGAAAACAAATGGGCCTGGAATGGTGTAATTTTTAATCAACACCATTGTCCTATATATACAAGTTATAAATAAAGTTGAATTCTTTGAATCGTCATTTTTATGTCATGCCGGCTCACAAATTGGACCTTGTTATTTTAGTATATAGATCTAGATTACTAAGTGCTTGTAGAAACATAATTCCTCATTTTTCAAGCCCCTTTCTTACATGTCTTAACCTCATTTAAATTACAATACCAACTAAAAGCTACAAGGAGCCTGTGTCGCTCACCTGATATTTTTTTTATTTTACAATTGATGCATGAAATAATGCAACCGATATACATTTGCTTTAGTTTCAAAGATATAAGTCAAAAACTGCATTTTTCCCCCTATGTTCTATTTTTAAACTAGATACCCTAATGCTTATTATGGCCAAGTTTGGTTAAATTTGTCTCAGTTGTTTCAGTAAAAGACTTTTGTAAAAGATTACAAAAATTTACGAAAAAATTGTTAAATTTGACTTTAAAGTGCAATAACTTCTTATGGGGTCAATTGACCATTTTGATCCTGTTGACTTATTTGTGAATCTTATTTTGCTGAACATTATTGCTGTTTACAGTTTATCTCTATTATAATGTTCAAGATAATAACCAATAAATTGCTTTGCCGAGCGCAGCTGGATATGACCACAGAGGTCCAACCCTGAACAGTTGGGGCAAATATGGACACAATATTCGCGCTTAATACAGGTCTGAATTTGGATTGCAATTCAATATTTGACACATAATAGGTTTCTGACACAGAATAACTGTAGTCAAAGAACTTAGAATTGGTTATATGATTTGAATTTATATTCAAAATTTTGCTTTTGTGTAATACACTATGCTGTTGCTAATTGACCTTCATCCCCTTTTAAAAAAAAAAAATAAATTTGAAGGATTTTCTTTTTGATTTTGATTTCTGAAATCTTGAGGAGAAAAAATTACCCCCCCCCCCCCTTTTTCCAAAAAAAAAAATCTCTCCCTCAGTTATGGTCATAATTTCAATTCAAATTTCCAAGATGTATTTGAATTACCTCCCTTACACTGTAATTTGTACTTAAGTAATTGTCCATTAACCAGGACACCCTTGTTTTTTCTCACTTTTTTGCCCCCAATTCCTAAATGGTTTGAGCCATAACCCCCCAAAGCCAATCCTAACCATCCCTTTGTGGTATGGAAACTTGTAGTATAATTTCAGAGAGATCCATACACTGTTCCACAAGTTATTGTCATGAAACTAGAAAAATGCTTATTTGGGCCCCTAATTCCTAAACTGTTGGGACCATAACCCCCAAAATCAATCCCAACCTTCCTTTTGTGGTTATAAACCTTATGTTTAAATTTCATAGATTTCTATTTACTAATACTAAAGTTATTGTCCGGAAACCAAGTGTCTTTGGGCGACGACAACGTGATACCAATAATTTTTTGTGGTCGTATAAAAATTGAAAAAAAAATTCTTAAAATTACCAATTCAGGGGCAGCAACCCAACAACAGGTTGTCTGATGCGTCTGAAAATTCAACAGAGATAGATATTCACCTGATGAACATTTTTACCCCATGTCAGATTTGCTCTAAATGCTTTGGTTTCAAAGATAGAAGCCAAAAACTGCATTTTACCCCATGTTCTATTTTTAGCAATATTGGCCATCTTGGTTGATGGCCAGGGTCAATGGATACATTTTTTAAACAAGATACCCTAAGGATGATTTAGGCCAAGTTTGGTTTTATTTGGCCCAATAGTTTCAGAGAAGATTTTTGTAAAAGTTATTGGACGTCGACGGACGCCAAGTGATGAGAAAATGATGCAATTAACAGTAAAAGTAGGCGAGACACTGGGTTCTGCGGAACCCTTACGATTTTTTTGAAATTGCCTTGGAATTCAGTATTTTTGTTATACCATTTGGAAATTAAATACTGTAACAAATACATACTAGTTACATTTATATATACTGTAGCTATAGGATATCCTCAATATCTAATCCTGTTGTTAATTTCATTTAAACATATAATGTATATAGCTTCCCTTCCACTTACATCTGAGGAGCTAATTCTGAAAATTAAAATTCCTGTGATTATCATATAAAATCTTAACCTGATGCAGTCTGCTTTCCAATAAGAATAAATTAGGAATACAGTTATCCCTTGGCAAAGAGAGAGAAAACAAGTGATATTTTTATATTATAACCAATACTGCACATGGTAATTGGAACATCACTAGTTTTCTGGATTGGATTGTTGCTCACTTTGTCAGGATCTTTTACAGCTGACTATATACTGTAGAAACATTAATTAATTAGTAGAAATAAACAAAATTAAATCCACCACGAAAATTTCTGCTTTTACAGTAGTATGGTTTTTTCATTGTTGAAAGTCATACAGTGACCTAAATTTTTTTAACATCCTCTTTGACTAATGGAATGTTTTCTCATTGACAATCCTACCATACATTGTAAGACCTTATTTATAAAATACTAAAAATTTCAATCTGTGACAATAACATTTTATTAATTAAATAAGGTAATCTGATCAACATTATGAAGCAATTTTCAAAACACTCTGTCATTGTCTGACAGCGATCAAAGTAATTTTAACTTCTATGACAATGTACAATGATGTATATATGTGCAAGGCTCAAAACTAAGTATTACAACTAAATTCATACATATATCCATATACATTTACAAGGTACTTAAAAAATCAGCGAGACTGATGCATAGAATGTAGGTAAAAAAAAAATACTTTTGTTGGATCCAGCATCATAATTATTACAAGTTAATGAAGGCAAGTCATAATCATTGAGTACATGTACATTATATTTGAACTTAAAGTAAAGGATAATCTGATTAGTCTCTAATCAGTAATGAAGCCACACAACACTGTGTGATGACAGTGACATACAAGTTTCCCATAGATGCACATACTATTATTTTAGGTCTTTTGTATATATATGTTTAAGGTTACTTAGAATTGGCTGTTGACATACATGTACACATGGACTGTCAGGCATGGAGTCATTGGACCCTAGGTTACTCCAGTCCATTATCAGTCACTATCAATAGTCAACTCCTCTGTCCATTTGTTGTAATACAATGTACAGCTGAAAGGGAGAAAACAGTACTTTATTAATAGCATGTGGATGCAAGACTATAATAAGTATTCAAAGAGTTTTGCAAACAATTAGCCTATCCGTTTAGGAGAATTCTGTATTTACCTAGTGATGTGACAGTAAACAGTGGCAGATCCAGAACTTTTTATAACTAAAGGGGGGGGGGGGGGGGGGGGGCCACTCCAGTCATGCTTCAGTGATTCCCTATATAATCAACCAAATTTTTACCACAAAAGGGGGCCCGCATGTAGACCAATTTGAAAACCTGGCCCAAAATAAATAGACAGCTGCACCATGAGCACATGATACACCAATCGCTTATTCAAAGAATAAAGTTCAATAACTTTTCAATGTCATAATCAGACATTCATGAAAAACTAAAGGGAGGTTATCTTAATAGATATAAACCAGTCACCAAAGTTTCATGATAACTGCTCAAAGCATTGTCTGAAATATGAAAATCCCCCTTTTTTATGAATAAAATCACATAACTCTGAAACATAAAATCTAAAATTAATAAAAACCAAAAGGGAGCTTATGACAATAAATATAAACAATTCACCAAAGTTTTATGAAAACTGATGTAAGCATTTTTGAGTTATTGTCTGAAAACTGGAAAATCTCCCTTTTTTAAATGAATATAACCCCACAACTTGGAAACATAAAATCTTAAATTTATAAAAATCGAAAGGGAGCTCATGTCAACAGATACAAACAAGTCACAAAAGTTTCTTGCCATTTGGTGAACACATTTTGAGTTATTGTCCCAAAACTGGAAAATCCCCATTTAAAGTTTTTTAATGTTTTTTGGATATCAACAACTTTGTCAAACATACATGGAATTTTGACATGGAATTAGTTATATCTGCACACAAGAACACACATTTGTATGTGTTTTTTTCTGCATAAACATGTAATTCATAATTTATTCAAACTTCTGACATAGTCCCATTGTGCATCTCTTTTTTATGCCCTTGTCGTAACGGAGGGGGCATCAAGTTTTACACTTGTCTGTCTGTACATCCTTGCATACTTGCATTGAGAAATAAGTTTTATACCCTATTGATATAATGAATATTTTGACATTACACAGTCATACTTTTCTTAAGACTGCATAAAATGACAAACTGTGAAACATTGTTACACTAAATTATTATTATTTATTATAAGACCTATTGATGAATCCAGTCCTTTTTGGCTAATTTTGAAAGTTGGTTCTTATGTTGTTTGCTGTCTGCCATTACTGTATGTAGTTTATATTTTTCATCCTTGTAGGTTACTTTATGGTATTGATTTTGTTCATTGTTTAAGGCTGTACATTGACCAGTAAATGTTTACATCTTTGTCCTTTGGTCTATTAATTGATAGTTGTCACATTGAGGATCATACCTCATCTTTTTATATTTATATGCTAGGTCATTGAAAAAGCTCCAAGGATACAACATAATTTAATTGTTATATATTTGCAAATTCATTCTGATAATGCAAAAACATAAATTGATTGACTTTTTTTCTTATTTTAATGTCCAGAGGCAAATATTTTATGTATTCTAAACGAGAACAACTTATCATGATCAATTAATAATATAGGCCAGTCTGACAATGCTTGTTTTAGACCCTTTTTGGTCTCTAATTCCTGAATGGTTTGGGCAAATACCCCCAAAATGAAACTTAACCTTCTACTTGTGGTACAATTTCATAGCAATTAAAATACTTATAAACAAGTTATTGTCCTGAATTTAGAAAAATGCTTGATTTGGGCCTTTTTTGGCCCCTAATTCCTACACTGGTTGAACCATGACGCCAAAAATAATCCCAACCTTCCTTTTGTGGTATTGAACCTTTAAATCTAATTTCATAGACATTCATACACTTAAACTGAAGTTATTGTCCGGAAACCAAATGTCTTCGAACGAGTTGATAGAAATATACGACCTCAAAACTTTTTTGCTGTAGTATACAATATGGTTGTTCTTTTAAACATTTTCATAAATAATCTAAAAGAAATGTAGACCTGTTTGGGATTGCTTGCAATGCAATTTTCATTACATTAAACAATATATATTTCCACGGAATAACTTCTGTAAACCTAAATTTTAATAGCACTTACTTTCTAACTCATACATTTCAAAGTGACATTATTCCTGTATATATTGCCAAATAAACGGATCACCGATGTAATAATAAATCTTAATTATAAATTTAATACTAAACAGAAAACAATGAACTTGCGGAAAAGATGGTATACCGCCAACAAAAGGTGCAAAGGTTTTATTTCTTGGTTTCCTTAAACTGACCTCATCATGAATATCAACAATTTTTTTTACGACTATGCCTCTATTGAAAACAGCATGCCTAAGTCACAGCTTCATAACTGTTGTGGCTAGACAAAAAAGAACAAGCGATTAAGAGAGCTTTGAATGCAATTTTCTATAAAAATGACCTGTAAAAAAAATAAATTTGTCACTTCTAACATGGATAATTTTCGAACTTGCCCACAACATTACAAGAATCAAACTTTAAACTCTTTGACCTCAAACTTTTAAAAAAATCTTCAAAACTGCATGTACAGAACCTGACAAGAAAAAATTATTCAAACATAGTTATCATTTTCATTACATACCTCTCATCACAAAATTATTCATTGACTACTGCTCCTCATATCCACATAAATCAATAGGACAATCTATGACTCCACTATATAATCTAGAAAGCAATGCCTCAAATGAATTCTGTCCTGTTGCTTAGCTTCTCCTACTTCTCAAAGTAATTGTACTTTCGTTGAAAAAGCTAAAATAAATAATGTTTGATAAAATGAAGTTATAATACAATGTATCTGCCAAAATTGCCTTTAATATTTTGATCTGGCAAAATTGGCTTGCTTTGATTTTTTAAAACTAGACCAACAAACTTTCCCTGAAAAAAAAAATGACTACAAAAAAGTATTTAATCATTTTATTAATGTTCTAATCCATCATATAAATTCCATATGACCCTTGAATGAAGGGATGAACAAAAGTGATTACATGTACAGTATATATTACAGGATATCTGAATCTGTCATGATTTATAATGTCAATCTTTGGGGATTAAGTTATTAATAATCATGATACTTTGAAATTTTAAGTCATTCAAAGTTGTTTAAATTACACCAAAAGTTGGACTATTTTATATAAGGTAGTATCTGAGAAATGGACTAAACCAGGCAAGGTTTGGTGGTAAATACATTGTACATGTACAATGTACTTTGTTTTTGGCTTTGAACTAGGTGTTAGTAACTGGGAGTACTCTCAGATCTGAACTTGGTCTTTTTTGTTGTGGGGATGTGTAAGTATCCACCATGTCTTGAGTGTGGTTTTGTTAGATGTCTTTCTACTTTGTATAGATCTGACGAGTTAAGCCCTTTTCACATCAATATACCAGGTTAGGAGGTGGGTTCGGCACCACAAACTACTAGTCTAGCCCCACCCCATCCTGTACATATTTGTATGTATGTGCCTGTCCCATGTCAGGAGCCTGTAATTCAGTGGTTCAGTTTGTCGCTTGTTGCTGTGTATCATATTTTGTTTTTTTTGTTCTTTGTTTTGTATATAAATTAGTCTGCTAGTTTTCTTGTTTGAATTATTTTACAAATTTGTCATTTTCATTTGGGGTCTTTTATAGCTGACTATATGGTATGGGGTTTGCTCATTGTTGAAGGATGTACAGTGACCTCTAGTTGTTAACTTTGATGTCATTTGATCTCTGATGGAGAGTTGTCTTTTCTCATTAGTGTAAACAAGATTTTATTTTGAAAATAATTAGGTTATTTAAGGTAGCACAATACAAAGATTTTTTCACCCCCAATCAGACAACTTTAAACTGATGTAATTTTTTTCATCCAGCTTTAAATTTTATAAATGAGGTACCAAAAGAAAGAAGAAAGATTAATCTTTCAAATGGTGAAAACGTCAACTTGACATAATTATTACACAATTAATTATTATGTAATTAGTTGCTATATTGAGATGTCCACATTTGAATGAAATTAGCTTCTTTGTTATTCATAGCATCCGAAAATATTTTATAGATTCTTGTATAACACAGTTTGACCTCCAAAAGGGTGTCTCAGATTTTTCCTATTGTATTTCATTCTCTCATAAACTTTCAATGAAGTTTGCAACCTAAATTCATAAGAGATCACTAAATTTAATTGGGTATAAAATTTGTTCTATTGATGTTTTTGGAAATCTGAGACACCCTTTTGAAGATAACTGGTCAAGGAACAACATGTGTGAAAATCAGGCATATATATAGGGGCACCCATCTAGGAGCTAAATTCATTTAAAACTACATTTTCATGACAAAAATTAATGTGTCACAATTGAATAAATAAGGATTTTCCTACTTGTACCCCATTAACTTCAATATAATTCACACATGTACCATTGGGATATTTCAGGATTGGCCTTCAATCATAAATCAATTAGGTTTTGACCAGTAAGAAAGCATTCGATTTCAGCAATTCTAAATATATAGAGAAAATGCACACCCTATGCATCAAAAACCAGATCTGGCGGGAGATGTTATATCATTATTGACCTTGCTGTAAGTCAGTTGCTACTGATATGGTCAAAACTCCGCCCACCATGATAAACCTTTACTACTAATGATCTCAGAAGTTTAATTACACATTTGCATTTAATTTTTTCAATATGGATTTTATTCATTTAGTACATAACATAATATATTTAGTTTTTTGATTGTTACAAAAAGTAAGTTATGCATGTGTACACAAAATGATCAGTTGGTCAGTTTAGGGGATCTTTATGGGGCATTTTTAGAACTGTAATTGTATACAAGGACAATATGGTGTTTTACACAAAGTAGATTTTGTTCAATTTTGCAGTTTGAATATGAAATATTTAATTTGTATTTTCTTTTAAAAAGAATTCATATCTAAACATTCTCCCCCAAGAAATTCCAGTACATTAATTTTTATACAATTACATTTGTTTAATTACTGTACATTTATATTTTGATTCCCTCTATATCTCCAAATTGTTACTTTGTTTTTTTTCTCCTGGCAGCTCCATTAATGAAATGTATTTTTATTTGGAATTCATTATCTTCATTTTTCCTGGTAATCCCGAATCCACCTCTTTTTCATAACTTTTATTTGTATTGCTGGTCAGTGGTCATAAAGCTATCAACTGATTTTATTGATTAACCACAAAGTACTGCCCACTTGTTCTTATCTTGTATCAGTCAGACACGTGCATTTGTTTATAAAACTAATTATCATCAAAACTCATTAACAGTGCAAGATATGTAAATGAATTTTTCTTCTGTGGTTTTGGAATATTAAGAAGTAACAAAAACAGCTGAAAATGAAATATTGATAAAATTTAGTTGCTTTTGTATTGTGCTACCTTAAACATTACAATATGACAGTTTTATTAGGATTGGAAAACAAGTGAATTTTCACGGACTTTTACCAATTCCTCTCTTTTCTCATTGGCAATCATACCACATTTTCTTATTTTTATATTTACATTACGTACATGTAAAGTAGATCTTTCATCTTCTGGAGGTGTCCGATTCCTAAGTACATGTACAACAGGGGGCCCTAATTAACAGCATGATTTTGAGTCGGCTAAAAAACAATCAGATAGATTATGATACAATTAACAGGTTTCTTTGCAATTATTTTGCAAATAACTAAGCTAATGCAAGAATAAAGTTATTTTCAAATAAATACATAAATTAAATAATAGTAAATAATGAATCTACAATTATATTTTAAGAAGTGAAACATCATTTAAATTCAATAAATATCATATATTAAATTTCAATTTTTTTTTTAAATTCTGGGTAGATAAGTTTTCATTTTTTTAAAGTACATGTAGGGCGAGTTGGTAGACCTTTATCTGTTTATAATATATTTATTATATATTATCATGATTATATTCATTTGGATTTTACCCAAGTTAGGCAAGTTGCCACTGTTGGCAGGAGTACATTGTATATTTAACAGGATTTAATCCTTTTCACAAGTGGGGCGATTTTTTTTTAATGAGGGGCAAGCAAGTTGGTATGAAGGGAGCTACCACTTGATTTTGGGGGGGGAGGGGGGGGGGCGCTAGGATGAAAATGTTATGAACAGTTATCCTGCATTGTTTTTAGTTGTAATATCTGTCCTGACAGTTTATTATTCATTCTTTTCGGTCCTGGCTTTTATTTTTTTACTCAAAACTCCTGTCCCGCATTTTTTCGAATTCCGTCAAATCCCCCTCTCCCATAAAAATCAAATGGTAGCTCCCTAAACAAGAGTGGAGCGATTTTAAAATAATGGGGCGTTTTGCCAATTGCAATATGGCGAGTTGACTTGCTTCCGTTTTTGCCAATACACCTTATCGCTATTTAGTCCAATCCGGAAAAAACAGTCATTTAGACAACTTCCTGTTTGGGTCAACAGGCCGCAAACAAAGGTCATCAGTAACGAGCTGAGGGAGGGAAAAATTTAGAAAGCGATCAATAGGAAACTTTGATAGATTATGATCCACTTTTTCCAAACTCAAATTATAGTCAAAAAAATATAGTGTTTGAAGTATTTACGATGTTTTAAACAGGTCTCATTAAAAAGTATCATGCATGGTGCATTGTTTAAACAGGGTCCCAGATAGCGTCAACTGGATGAAAAAGTTGTGTAATTTTAGAACTTATCCGGCATGGAGTAAATAGCGATTAGGTGCATCTTTGACTGATTTTCGGGTTTATACATGCATGACATGGATAAAGTCAAATGGTTTTTCGTGAAAAGTATAGCACTAGCATCTTCCTAAAAATGCGCATGATTATATTTACATTTCATAGCGCTTTCCAAGTACAATAAGTTGGTATGTAATCCATCAAAACGAAACACTTTCGTTGCGTTGACTTTCGTTCCCCGGATTCAGTTAATCGACAATGTAAGTTACTAACCCATTTCAATATATCTGTTTAAAATAACTTTTTGATCCATCAGTTTGAAAAATCAAAGGTCTTTGTATCAACTATCTGACTATCTTTGTCCATTCTTTTAAAACATGAATTCAGCAGCAGACGAGCGTCCATGGATTTTGCGTCATAGTATAAAAACGACAACGGTGAAAAGATTTCCGGGTTTCCGTATTCGACGTGCCAAGCTTTCGTACATTTACGTATATATATGAGAGTTAGTCTGGAATCAAGAATGGGGATTTAAATAAGGACACAAAAAAAATATATAGATAGTTGAAAAGCAAAAATATAGAAAGAAGGATCATAGAGAATAATTGAGTATACTTAATTATGAAGAATCATGCAAAGACATTATTCTCAGAGCATATACATGCTGGGACTATTATACTAACTAGTATAATAGTCCCAGATACATGTCTCTGGAAGAATTGAGAATAAAGAAAAACTAAATAAAGAATATTCAATCATTTATATATTATTTATAACTCATTCACATTTTGTTCCATTCAGAATTAAATAACTCTGCTGAGGGGGGCATGGGAAGTTTGGAAAATTGACAAGCGATAATTACTCTAAATTCTAATCAGAGGAGAATTAAATGTTAGACAGTTAGAATGTAATAAATAAAATATAAACATATATTTTTCAAAATGATGTCACAGAAAACACAGATTTTTTTTTTATTACTAATAAGATTCTGCAATTTGAGTATCTATGTCCAACAGATGTCAGTGAATTTGAAATTTTACTAATCTGATAGACGTTTAGTTAAGAATCTGTGACAAGTTCTTTTGTAATATTATTAGGAAATTGCCTACCGCCTCCTTGATTTAGAATTGCATACTCTTCAAGATTAAGGTAGCCTACACAAATAACAGCCAGTTTTGGACTTGATCTTTTTGTCCAAGGTTAAACAATATATTTTGTTTTATAATTTTCAACTCATGAACTATGCAAATATTTTTAACACTATCTCCTCATGATATTCGACGAAAAGCTCACCAGATCTTATCTTCACATGTTTGCCAATATGGCGAATCAAATCAAAGTTTTACTTACTTAATTTCAAGTTGGCAATTACATGTATACTCAAACCTAGGTTGCCACATGATGAGCAGAAAGTTCCTAACTTTATCATTCACAATACTTGAGTTCACCCATGTATTTTGGAGGTTCGTGTTGCACATAAAGGCGGATTTAGAGCACCCTGCCCCTACCCTTTTTGTGGCAAAAATTTTGATCTATTATATCGGGAATCACTGATGCATGACTAGGGAGGCCCCCTCTTTAGCAGTCAGTGGGCCCCCTTATGAAAATTTCTGGATCCGTCAATGGCACAATCTTTAGTTTTTATGTAATGTTAAGCCCAACGGTTACTGGGAATTTTTGTACAGTATTTCATACCAAGGTTGTTTGGGTATCACAGTTTTAAAATGTTATCAGCGTTGATCCAATAAACAAATCCTTGGTTGATCTATTCTTAAACAACTTATTTCCAGTAGTACCCCGTCACAATGGTATTAATGACATTAATGCCTCCAACCTGGGACTATTATGGAGACTATTATACAATAGTCCCAGCTCCAACACTGATCATTGATATTTATGTTCCCCTTATAAATAGAATAGAGAAATTGAGGACATTTGTTCCACATTTTATGAACTTTGAAAAAACACAAGCACATGTAACTTTTGACACCACCTGCGGGCAAGTGCCTGCAGGACACTGATGTGGTGGCACGTGGGTGGTGGTAAGTCAGTGGCGGATCCAGAACTTTTCATAAGGGGGGCCCGCTGACTGACCTAAGGGGAGGCCGCTCCAGTCATGCTTCAGTGATTCCCTATATAATCAACCAAATTTTTCCCACGAAAGGGGGGCCAGGGCCCCCCACCCTGGATCCGCCTATGTAAGTTTATAACCGCCGTTACAGTAAACCCCTCTCAACCCACCAAATGCTTGCTTGAAACACAAGTAAAATATAAGCAGGTAATTATATCCTTTGCTTTTATTCCACACCAAAGATGAAGAAATGTATGATAAAGTTATAATGGTATATTATTCTGTACATTGTATAAGCCTAAAAATTAAAGGGACGAAAGTATGTAGTGACTATTGTTTGTCGTGATTTAAAAACGATAATAGTGTTGCTTTCCCCTTTATCTTATGAGCCGTATTGAACAGGACAGACTACCCCAAACACTCTGAAACTTTTCAAGTACTTTCTATATGCTCATGTGTATTATATTGTTAGCATAGTTTTGTACTTGGACAGATAATCAGAATGGTCAACAATCAAGTATTGACAATGTTAATTGGTCACGTTTGTTTGAACCGTTACCAAACCAGGTAATTTTTAAATTTACACTTGTACAACCCAATGTCAATGTTACATACAATCAGTCATTTTTGTAACACAAGGGTTACAAATAAGAAAATACTAAATAAAATATGCAAATTTATAATTTAGTTCCATAACTGTATGAAGCACCTAAGACTTAAATATATCTACTGGGTGTATCTGTCTGTCTTTTGTCCAAGATAGTTGGCAGATATATAGGAATAAAAAGAGATGTAAGGTTATTGTAACACACCTTTGAGAAAGTTATTCAAACAATAATAACAAAAACACAACACAACACAACACATCTAGATATTCCAAGTTCTAAATCATTTTTTTTCAAAGTGGTGAAGATCAAAAGATCTGCAATTAACACCAAATTCTCCCAATATAAATGCATACTTCTTTTACCTGTGTATATGTATTAAAAGAAATACCAATGAAAATCTTAATTAAAATAAATGTTTAAAGATTAAACTTTTAATTGTTCAAATAAGAAGAACATTTTATGGGGGAAGGGGGATGATTCACAGAATTCCCTGGCCTACTCCCTTTAGGAATTATATATAGAGAGACTTTTTACAAGTCTAGTCTCACTTTTTTTTAAGGATCCTGGACCCATATCTGACAATTATTGCAATTTTATTTACTTTGCCTTTTTTTACTGCGATTATTTTCCTAAGCTGATTGGATAAAATACCATTTATTATGGTGACAATTAAGGATAATCAGGGGCTGATCCAGCCATTTTTAAAAGGGGGAGGGTCCCAACACAGGATAAAAGGGGGGTTCCAATTATGTTTCCCCATTTAAATGCATTGATCATTCAAAAAAAGGGGGGTTTCATGTGAAAATAATTTTTTTAAAAGTAAAATAAGATTTTCAATGGAATATATGTCTTACAAGGTATTAGATGTTAATAAACAAGTTTTAATTTTGATGTTAATTTTTTTCGACTTGGACACAATTAACTTTTTTTTCATGTGAATTTCACATGAAAAATTTAACGTAAAATTCATGTGAAAAATTTAACTTAAATTCACATCAACAAAATTTTCCTGTGTAACACATGCATTACACATGCATTACACATGCGTTTGACTATACATGTGTTACACATGCAAATATCGCATGTGTCACATGCGTTTTCCAACACATGCGTGACACAGGTGTTTTTCTGACACATGCAATTCACATGCGTGTATTACGCATGTGAATGCATGTGTACCACGCATGATTCACATGCGTGGCAAGAAACATGTGTATAACGCATGTGACACACCTGTGACACATGCGTTTTTAGGTACATGCGTGACACATGTGTGGCATTTTTGCCCTAGTACACTGCTAATTTTTTAAAATCTTAAATGACGGAGTATGATTGACAAGGAGACTTCCATCTAGTAAAGACAAAAGGGTGTGGATGTAAGCAACTAGAGGTCATCGTATATAAGCGATAAATCAGGCCGGCATGACAAAATGTGAAACAATTCAAACTAGAAAACCAACAGCCAGACTTATTTACTTAAGGAATGACTTTAATATGTTTTCTTTCTATGAAGAAATAACATCAAAAATGTGGTGCACACGTTATTTAAAAGTGTGCACCACATTTTTTTGGTTATTTCGAATAGACCGATAAATTATTACAGTCAGTCCTTATAATTTAATTCTAAATTCCCTTTTTAAGGAATAAATTTTGAAAAAAACCCGTTGGTGACGTCACGGTCACATGACAAAATTATGTCTAT